ATGCTAGAGAGGCCCAGATTGCAGTCCAGTGAAGGCTGACTTCACTATGCCCTTACTTCCTCAATAGGGTCTCTCCATCCAGTTGCAGAGTCTCACGAAGCTTGTGAGAACATAGCATGCTGAGACCTCACAACCTTGCTCTGAGTGAACTGGACTTGGGATGAGTGTTCAAAGTTTACTGCAAGGGTAAGAAGACAGGCAAAGCATTATCAGATAAGCCTGACTTCCTTAGGAAGTCAGCTCAAATTAACGAGCACAGATTCTTCTCCCATAGAGGTGCAGAAGGAAAACACCTAATCATCTGAACAAAGAACAAAGAAAAGGGTTGAAGGTTAAGGGACACTACTGGCCAAAAGATAAATTTTGATCTTCTAGGCTATTGTACTCTGCAGAAGGAAATGGCTCCAAGTCATTTACACACTTGTACTTTAACCTATTCAAAAATTTTCTTGATAGTTACTACACCTGGCAAATTAATACTGCAGTAAGGATTCAACTTATGTATTTGCGTAAACCTGATACAGCCACACACACTTCCCGATATGCTTGAATTTGGTGACCTCATGGCCAACACATTTCCTTGAATTCTTGCACTTTGCAACACAGAATGGAACAAGTACACTGAGCAAAGGCATACAAGTCTGATTACTTTGCATATATAAAAACACACCACTTAGCATGAATGCTATGGCTACCCACTATGCCTTTTCAACTCTTCATACAGGTACAAGGCATAGAAACAAACGCACACACATTTTTTGCAGTACATAAACCTAGAATCAAATAAAAACACACAGAGAATGTTTCCCACTTCTCCAGTGCTTGCTGAATTTTACTGACACATAACTGAAATAAAACACAACCCAAATTTTCCAACTTGCATTTCATTTTTTGGGGTGTTCTGTAAGTCTCTGTGTAGTTCTCAAGACAGTAATCTTCATAGGAAAAGGTTATTCGCCAACACTGGCAGTTGTGCTTTACTCAGTGTAAAGGTCAAGGGCAAGACCATGTCACTCAGACTTTACAAAGACAGCTGCAGACAAAAACTGTCGTTCCTCAGAAGTCATGTTATCTATGTAATTCTGCCCCGATTGTTCTCTTCAGACCGTACGTCCTTAAAGAAGTTGACCTTATTAATGAAAGAGTTTATTTTCCTTCATCAGGCAATGTCCAAAAACTTATTTTGAACTGTATGACCTCTAATCTTCTTTCCATCACAGGAAAAGCCTATTTAGTTTTATAAGAGAACACTGATAATTACTGAAGCGATTCCAAGTGTTTTTTTTTTTAAACAACCGGCAATGACCTGAGGGTTGGAATCCGTTATTGTTTACGATGAAACCTGTGGTATTAAAATTATTTTTAAGGTACAATGAACTAAATCCAAAGAAAGTCTGTCTTTATATGTACAAACAGTATATAAATAGATCAAGTGCTGAAATGTGGCTTTCACATTAAATAATACGTTGAGAATAACGAGCAACAGTTATGCAATATCCTTTTAGAGTGAATGTAAGGAATGAGAGTCACTTACAAGAAATAAATTGATTTTTTAGTAATCGAGGGAATGGGCAGATCCTGAAACTATAGATCTATATTTTCTGACAAATTTCCTTTGTATTAATCTTCCTTGAGACTTTAAAAGCTCTTATGCTCTGCTGTATTCCCACTCTTACTAAGTACCAGACACATCACATGAAGACATACTGCAGCATGTTAGCATGTGTAGGCTACCCTTCCTCCACTGGGGTGAGCAAATGCCTTCCCCTCTGCTCCGCTCCCAAGTGGGCACTCAAGTGCTGCCATTCCCCTGCCAACCTCTGCAAAGAAGGACAGTCTGCACTACATTACATACGGCATTATTAGAACAAGTCTGTCCACGCATAATTACATAGCAGTTGACATTTATTGCTTTCACAGGCTGTACCTTCAAGAAGCTGTACCTCCAGTGCTGCTCCCCTCCAGCTTTTCATTTATGCATGTATATGCATATCCTCCTTTAAAGCTGGCAAAAGTGTAGGAATTAATCTTCAGTACTCAGAAACACTAATATTGACTTCTACAGTTGATATGCATCAGAGCTGGTCTCCTTCCTAATTAACTTTCATAAACCCAAGAGAGGAAACTGCCATGCTACAAAGAATAAATATTAAATATTAATTGCACACACATGTACATGGACCCAGCTACTGGACACTGAGGCTCACTCTCTCCCATGTGCACTCCTGCTCATGGTCCCTGTACCCTCTCATTCTCTCACTGTGGACCCAAATGACTTGCAAGCACAGCTAATCCACCTATCTGAAGCTAATACTACTCCTCCTTGTCTGCTCTGCTCCTCTCATGGAAGTCTCCAGGTCCCTGCAAGGGACTTATGGTCCACTTCTGGATCAGTTCTCATAGCAGCACAGCTAGCAATCCAGTGCCTCAGCTTAAACCAATCGATTCATGTCAGCCTTTGTACCCCTATAACAGACTTTGACACTTACAAAAGACCCTCCTCTCAGTCTTAGTGTACTCCTCGTGTTATCCCCAGCTCTACAAAAATGCAGCACTTTCTTAACGGTATTGTCCTAAGTAAAAAAAAAAAAATCACTTGCTGCAATGCCAGAGGCACAGGATCTAGCTGTTTTTCAATTAAATTAAGACCTGGTCTTCCACTTCAAATAATTTAAGCTGAATATTCTGTTTAGGTAGAACTTTGCTGCAACACAAAACATATTAAAAAAATCAAGTTTTCAATTTCTACCAAATGAATTTAAATTAATTTAAACATACATGTGAGATCACTCTGTCCACAATACTCTAAAGAGATGCTAAAAGCTTTTAAAGTTTATTCAGAATACTCCAAATGAGAAGTTTACACCTTCTGCTTGGATTTATCTGTCTTTGATCTTGATTTTGCTTAGTGTAAATAAACTAGGAGTTCTTTAGCTGTTTCATGGAGGGTCACAAATCAGAAAACGATGTATAAAGTACTGAACAAAACTCTGTAAAATACTTTACAGTATTTTACTTGCAGTAAACTCTGCACCATTAAAAGAATTCTCAGCAAAAGGAACAAAGCAATGGAGAACTGAACATTTTAAAATAATACGCAAAATGGCTAGGACACACATGTATTATTTTTATTGTTGTAAAATAAGGCAATGCTTTTCTGCCACTTCTTTCAGGACTTAGTGGAAATAACCCACCAGCAACTGCTGAGGCAGTAGTGTCTGTAAAGCTAAGGATGCTGCAGCTCATTTAAAACTGAAAGGAGCTCACAGAAAATTGAGACTGCTACTAATAGGACATAAAGCAAGTCAGTTCCACACGTGTCTCCTGACCTGATTCACACTTAGCATAAGAATACAAAACAGAAATTTTAAGAGCTACAACTGCACTCCTTCTCCTATCTTCGTATCACTTTCATACGACCATCACTACATGACCCATAATTTGCATTTGCATTTTCTCCCTCAATCATCTTCTCCTCCTGAAGGTCTTTTTTTCTTTATCTTCTCAAGGGTGACTATAAAAAAGGACTGTGGAGAGGGAAAAACAACCTTGGGTTTTACACACAAAAGTCATTTCAACTTTGTTATCTCTGTTTAACAGGGTTCTTCCTTCCTGCCATTATTCGTAAATCTCATGGTTTACTTATTTTAGTATTGAGCTGACAGATCATGTACAAAAGAACAATTTCTTAGTTACTAGCTTCTGTCACCAGTAAGTCCTCTATACCTACACAGTGGCATGGAAAAATCTTTTCCTGTGGAAGGCTGCTCATCACATTTTTCATGCATTGTTGCTGATACGTTTAACTTTTTTGTTTCACAACTCAGCAATGAAGCAGCTATTGTTTCCAAACTGCTGAGCAAGTCCGACTGTGGGAACAAGAGATGTGCGACAGTTCTCAATGGTCTCTCTGGTGGCTGCAGACTGAGGTGCCCAGGCACGGGGGGAGAACGTGGGGGTGAAGGGAACACTAACTGCAGGGGAGAGAGAGCGTCCTGGTTTGAGTTAACTGGACAGCTAACCTTTCGGTGTAGTTACATGAATGACATGCTCTGCTTCAGCTTATTTTTAGTTTCTATTCTATTTTTTTCATTCCTCAGAAAAATTTGCACTCTCTATGTGTCTAATCAGGTCCATCCAGATACAGTGCATTACTCATAAGGCCAAGTACATACTTACAAGCTTACCTGTCTAAATCCAGAGACCTGCAAAACCTCTAATGTGAATTTCATGGCATGAGACACAAATGTCTCCCTTTTTCTTCCTTTTCTGAAAGCCTCTTCTACAAAAGTTTATGCCAATCCCACCATAAAGCAAGCCATTAGAAACCACACAGCATTTAAAAACAACACCACCTCAGACATCTTTGGAGAGTAGCCTGCTTTTCCCATTTCTGAAATTTTCCATGTTAAAGAGCTATACACTGAATCCTACAAGGATCATAACTGCAAAATATATTTAGATGTCAATGCATATGCCTCAGGAACATAAATATTTGATTTTAGAATAAGATATACAGAAAGTCTTTCTCAACTATGGTAGAAGCGATTAAAATGATCAGAGGTACATATCAGACGGAATGCAAGTGAAAAGTATCTTCTTATTCCAAATAAAAAAATTTTAAATAAACAAAACCAGGAGACTATCATTAAAGATGGTAAAAATTAATGCACATTCAACTGGAGGCAATTATTACCAATACTTCTTAACTGCTTATTAAAGTGATCAGCCCACCAAACGTTTGGGTTTAGATTGCAGCATCTTATTCATCTTAATTCTCAAGTCCCATAAAACAAGCAGCTAAATGCTACCAGAAATCACCTGTGCCCGCTGATAAGAAGCCCTTTCAAAGTCATGGAGTGTTGCCTGTGACTAACTGCTGATTTATGCAAGATAACAAGCCTCAGTAACCACATGTATACACATACTGCTTCTGAATTTGCAAACACATAAGTATATGACTAATTCTATCTTATGAATAAAGGTATGCATAAACTTACATTTGCACTGTTGGCAGGTGCCCAGCTGCAGGAGCCTGTGAAAGGCTCAGTTCTTTGTCTTCAGTATGGGAGAGCCGAACACTAAACAGGGCAGTCACATTACGTACCTGAAGTTAAAAGATTCCTGTATAATCCACTGGGAAGAATGCCACCCTAAAAGATCACTCAGAAAAGGTGTGGAATTACAAATATATACTCTGTGTTTAAGTCTGTAGAGAGGAAAAGTAACACTATTTTGCTGAAAGACAGTTAGTGACCTAATTCTACGGGCAGCTATTGTAATACTGAGTGCTTGCTCCCATTTCTGCCTGCAGTAACCACTGTTCAAACTCCAACCCAGTTACCTACTGGTCAGCAGGCATGCATAAAGCAATGCAAAATGATAATAGACAAGAATCTAACCTTTTCAAGGATACATTCTTTGCTATTAACACCAGCTGCACCACAAAATACCAGGAAGCAAACAAAAGATCCCATTTTCACAGTACCAGTTATCACAGCCCAAGCAAATAAATACATAGAAGTCACTGAAAATAAGAAGTCTTCACAACTTATTCTGTATGGATGAGGACACGTTACAAAAACACTAGATCCAGCACAAGAGAAAAACTAGGCATTCATTATCAGTGGAAATGGTTTAACCCAGTATGAAGTTGATTTACATACAGGATCAAAAGATTACTTAGAACAGTTAGGGTCTGAGAGATCATCTGTTGTTACAAAGCCTAAAACAATGTGACTATTTAGTTCAACAAGGTTACTTGAACCACAGTTCTCAATTACCTACGCAGAGAAAGGATTTAAACATAGCCCACAATATATAAGATACAAGAGACAATACTGTGTAGTAGACCACCACTGAAAACTAAATGTTGTGAAAGGTAAAGCTAATTAAGTATTGGCAAAGCTCTTCAAGGACGAGGTGAACTGATCTGAAATAAGAAGTAAGACTGAATGCATTCCTAAAAAAAATCTAAATATGGGCTGAACACAAGTCTCCCCAAATTGAAGCCTTCAGCTCACATGACACCAATGCCAGACCAGACTAGCATGCATCTTGCTTAGGTCTCACATTAATAAATATTTTAATGGTGAAGTAAGGCAATACATAGGGAACCAACTACATTTTGAAGTAAGACTTAAAATACTGCTGGACTTACATCCATCATTTGAAACAAGAGGCACCATTTGGTCAAAAACACTTTCTTTCAGAAATTTCCTAGCATTTGGAAAAAAAATGCAGGACAATCACATTTCATTTGGAGGAGAAGGGTGCTCTATATTGGGAAATGTGACAACACCGTTCTAGCAGATGAATTATGAGTTACGTGCCTGGAGACCTGTATACTAAAGACTTCTCATAGCCATGACCTTTGTGAGAGTATGGGGCAGTGGGAAGGAGGGGAAAAGGAAGAGGAACAGGTAGACTCTAGGGAGCAGATATTATTAACATCAGAAAGAGCAGAAACCCTAGCTAAAGTAGAAGTTTGACATTTATGTCCACCTCACACACACAGTACTTTAGTGCTTGTTGCACAGAACTCAAGACACCACTGAAGTCTAAGGTATAAATAAATCACATCTTTTGTTTTCTCTCTCTTTCATCCTCTCTCTCTCTCTGCCTAGGATTAAACACTAAAAGCTTATCTCCTTGGTTTTAGCTCCACAGTAGCTGTAAAACCTCAGAGGTCAAATATCTTTTTTTGTCACAAGTGCTGAACTTGATCCAAAACATAAAATATTGCAAAAATTAGTAGTAGCTGGAACACTTATAACTTACATTCACCTTTGGGCTTCAGAGTCTGAAGAAGGCCCACCTATAACACTGACCACAATAATTTTCTTCTAAAGTTCATTTCATTTAAGCATAATTTTTGCCCTGCAGTAATATTAAGACCAATTATTTGAGAAAGATATTTTGAAGCTCTGTCCTCACTGATCTCATAATTAAGAGAGGCCATTAGATCACCAGTTCAAGAAGGGCAAATCCATGGTCACCCATACAGTGTTACCTCACATAGCATTGCTGTCTTGGCACAAGAGCTTCTAGGTGGCCATGGTAGGTCCTGTTGGGAAGAGGGAAGGGCTGCAAGGATAAGGCAGATACCACCAGACAGCCCCAAAAGGCAACCTCCTGCCCAGGCCAGCCCCACACTGAGGAGAGCCATGCCTCATATCCCACTTGTCCAAAGCTCACTCTCCTCTGGACTCTCCAAGATATGTGGGACATGCTGTGCAACTCCCAAACATGCAAGTAATTTGAAATGCAGGTTGGGAAGTTACAGAAAGCCTGAATATCAGAGATGCTCAAACAACCCTGGTGAACTGCAATGTGAAGGTGTTGTCACCCTAGCCTAAACTCTGCAGACAGGCTTGCCTTCACTTTGGGGTCAACATGTTCAAGTCTGGACTAGACCACTTTGCAGCAAGTGACCCAGGTCACCATCTGGCTCCAAACCAGCTTCTTCTGTGCTTTTATTTTCAGAGTGCTTGAAATGAAGCGAAAGTGGTTTTTAAAGCTTTAAGGTGAAATGTGTGGCATGCCCAAGGGCACAAAGTGGGGGGCATGTGAAGGCATAAAGCCAGCTGGGATAAAGCAGAGCTGCCTTGCTCTGCTCACCATGCTAGTGAAGCTTGCCATAGGCCATGTCCATACCATCCAGCATAATCCTTTAACCGTGCTATATAGTCAACTGAGTCTGCATTTCCTCTTGAAGGGAAGTAATTGATTTATGCAAAGAAAAAACTAGTTTACATAGATGACTAAGGCCCAGTAGTAAAACATGGGCCACTTCTGAGCCAGACTGACACTATAAATCACCTTTAACCACCTTTGTTACTTGTACTTTTATTAGGCCTTCAAGCAACTTGTGCAATAATGGTAAAATTATGCAAGCATAAAAAGCATTCCCGCGTACTTTTCAAAAAATGTTTATCACCTAAAGAAATCATACAAATATATTACTTTATTTAAATTTAATGATTATGCAGTACAAACTACCAGGCTGCCTTGATATGAAGCTATTAAGGTTCAGTCAATATTACAAAGCTATTGCCAGTGCAGCTACAGCTACAGAGCAAGCAGAAATACATCTATTTTAGAAATGTACGTGTACTCCAAAAGAAAGTGCTTTTGACCGATGTTCAAAATGCAGTGAGCTATACAGGTGGGGAACACTGGTATAATGTTGCTCATCAGTATAGGAACATCAGAAAAGAAAAGAAAAAAAAAAAACAAACCACCACAGTAATTCTCTAACCAATGTTACTGTATCAGTGAAACAATTTGGCTGGCAAGGAAAATGCTGCACCATAAAAGCAACCCAAAGAAAGCACCACTTTATCTACTTAAGACTTCAGGAAATTTCAGGAGGCCAAGGCTGGCTGGTAAGGCTGCACTATTTGGTTTTGCAGGAAGCTGACCCTAAATTGCTTGGTTTACAGGCGAGAAAGGAGACTGCTTTCTGACAATACATGGCCCAAAGGAGGAGAAAGCCATCCTGCTCCCAGGTGCACCCCGAACACTAAGCTGGCAACACAGGCTGCCCATCCTCCACTGTGGGCTCTGCTGTGGGTCTGATTTTTGGCACAGTAGGAAGTGAGGAAGAAGGAGCAAGAAATTGCTACAGTGCTGTCCTTGTTTCCATGGCACGTGCTTTTATAACTTGTGCTCCCTGAGGTAAAAGGCATAATTTGGACTCAACAGCTGAAAACTCAGCAGTTCTCTGCCTATAGGATAAGGGAAAGCTGCTTCTGTTATAGCAACAGTCTTTGACTTTACTCCAATGCCAGCTCCAGACCGTGCATGGAGAAGGAGAGACATATGCCCTTCAAAACTTTACACCCTGACCAACATTCATACCAATGGGTTAGGAGTTATTTTTAGTTCATGCACTTTCTGCTTGTAGTGAAACTTGCTACTAGGCGTGATTCCAAGAGACAGCAGCAGGGAAAGGCATACAGCAGCAAAGTGGCAAAGGCCCCTGCCGAGAGTTTCTGGCACTTGCAGGAAGAGCAAGGACCTTACAGACACACCAGGGGGGCTCCCATAGCCTGCAAATTTAGGGGTTGAAAATTTTCCATGGGCAGGAGTAGAACAATGCTCAGCAAAAGCTGATGGTGCATATGAAAAACAGTTCCTGGATATTGTTCTCAGTGTCAGATCAGATCCTTCAGATATCATTCATTCTAATTACCATCTGCCAGTTTGTAAGTCAGTAAAAAAGCCAGGCAAATAACACAGGAACCTCTGTGTTTGCTGGTGGTCAGTATCCTAGCTTCCTCTCCATTCCCAAAAGGCATGCAAGAAAAGAGCTCTGGCCATCTAGGAATTTATATGGCCCCCATCATTGCTGTGCTAATGACTTCTGGAAAAGATCCATAAGATTCTGGAAGATGCTCTCTAGAGACATTTAAGCACCTATTAAAGAAATGAACTTTTGATGCTTAAACCTAAAAGAAGCATGTTCAAAAATCCTGTCTAGCTGTGCCTAAGTATTAGTGGCAAAATAAAATAAAATTAAAAAAAATCTAAAAAAAGATAAGAGATGTGATAATAAATTTTGTAGCTATCAGCATGCACAGATGCAGTTTCATCTTTGACAGGGCCGTAAGCTTAGTCAAGATTCACAAGGTAATTATTCCCTGTCTGTGTCTGCTGATAAACCGTGCACAGAACCACAGAACCAGGTTCTCCAGAAAAAGCAGAAGCTATTGCTTTTGTTTAAAGACGCAGTCAGAAAAAGAAAGCAGCAGTATTGCTCTCTTTTCTAAGGCAGCCCAGCCACTGCAGCACTTGCTGAGGGTATGGGAAACAGCTCCAACCACCCCAGAGTTAGACAAGTCAGATGGAGACTTCAGCCTTTGTGCAGATGGCCTTTCTCTCTACAGCTTAAGTGACACTCAGAGAAGGACGCCGTGTCCTTGTGAGAGGGCACGCACTGCAAGCGAAGGACCACAGCCTCCAGGTCCTCCTCCCAAGGATTATTTATAACTTTTACATTAAACTGTTTATGGAATGAAATACATCAGCCAGCTTTGGGCA